CATCACAGTCTTGTCTCATCTTTGCTCCCTAAAGCTCCTTTCAGGCTGGTCTCATGACAAAACATACACCCCTGATTCTCCCTAGGTATCTGACTCTCGCCCCCTTTCATCCTCTGGTGTCTCCCACCCCATTTCTTTCCTCTCCTCTGCCCTTCACCATCTCTGTGCTCTTCTCCTGTCTCCCTCGCTCTTCTCTGCGTGGTGGCCACATCTTGTCCTTTGCGGGGTCTGTGGCTTTGTAACCTACAAAAGGGGTGTAAGGACACCTGGGTCCCAGGGCTGGAGCTGCTAGGGACTGAAGTGACTTAGGAAAACCACCTGATGTCTGGGGGTGTCCCCATATTTAAATGGATGTGTTTTAAACACTGTTCTGGACTTGACCCCACCCCAACTTTGTCTTTGGCCCTCGTGGGCTGCTCAGGCTGAAGATCATGGTAAGATGGTGAAAGGAAAGGGTCGTGGAGAGATTAGGTCCCTATCTGCACGTCAGCATGTGTGCGCGTTACACACGTATGTACGTGCTCACACACGTATGTACGTGCTCACATACACACATCATCTACATGTGGGAGGAGGGGTTTAGAATGGCTAGTAAAATAGAATATTGAAAGAAAAGACCTGGCTGGCTCTCAGTGACTGTGTTCAGAGGGTCGTTTTGGCACCAGGGCAGAGAGGTGACCTCCTCAGTGTCTGGTCAGATTCTGACCGGGCAGTCCTTGCCCACATGGATAAGGACCCTTTTGGAGAGTCCTGGGAACATCCGAAGGGATAAGCTTTATTTTCAGGAGCCCACAGAACCTGTGAGGTCCTACTGGAAAAAGAATGAGCCAAGTCATAGTCAACCTGCCAACCCACAGCCTGAAGGTCAACCGTCTTCACCCAGAAATCCCTGGACGAGGCCCTTGTGTGTACTGAACCTGTCCCTGTTAATCATCCTTCCTGCGACTGACTCATCACCTGATTCATTTTCTATTCCTTTATCCGTTTAATCCGTCATTTACCCACTCACTCACACATGCAGGTATGCACTCACTTCCTCCTTCATAAGATACCTAGACACTTATCCCTCGCTCCTCCATCCATTCATGCACGCATTTCCTCGTCCACTGATGCACTCACTCGCTCATTCAGACTGTCACTCATTCCGGGCTCTGAGCATAGAATGGGAAACATGGACGGTGCTGACCCCATGGAGTTACAGTCAATCAGGAAAGAAACTATTGATATAACAGGCGTTGAACAAATGAGAAATGGCAGTGTGACAAATGGATGATGGGTGCTTGTAAGGACTGGCCTGGCATGAAGCCATGGGTCCTCTCTGGGCAAGTGGTACTTGTGCTCAAGTCTGGAGGAGGGTCATTAGTAATGTGCAAATAGAAGAGGAATGGGAAGGGTCCAGAAGGCCCAGGAGAGGGTAGGGACGAAAGCTCAGTGGAAGGGGAAGCATGGGGACTAAGGGGCTGAGTGGCATTTATGTCCTCATCTCTCACTTGGTAGATGCCCAGGGTGTCAGGCCCTGGGCAAGACTCTGAGATGAATCAACCCCACCTCTATCCTTCTAGGCACCAATCTGCCTGTGGAGCTGGGGCCGAAGGGGGAAAGAGAAACTCATCAGTGCCCATCCGAAAGAGTGATCAAATGCAGTAGTCATTGAGAAGATGCAGAAATCAGCGTAGACATCTTGGGGTGGTTGAAAAGGCCTTAAATGAACTGACAGGGTTTGGTCATGGGAAGGTAGTCTTGGGGGATATATGAACAGATGGGGTGAATAGGAACAGAAGCAGAGGTAGAAAAGTTTGGGGCTCAGATGGAAGCCCAAGTGTATAGAGTTCAGTGCCACTGGACAAACTGAGTCAAGAAGGTGGAGAGAAAACTGACCAGATGATGAGAGGCACTGAAGGGCAAGCAGAGTGGACTGGACTTTGTCCTGGATGTGGGCAACACGGGAAAGGTTTCCGAGCAGAGGAGCATCATGACCCAACTAGGCTCGGGGCCAAGGAAGTGGTAGCTGCCAGCTCGACTGGAGACAAGTGGTTGGAGTCAGGGAGACCAGAGGTGGCCCTGCCAAGAGAGTTCACTCCTTTCCACTGCCCTGAAGTTGGGACGGCCACGTTCACTGGGGACCAGGGAGTGGCCATGCCCACTCTATGGGAAGGCAGCTGGTAGCCACTGGGAAACGGGATAAGATGCCACCTTGTGCTGTGTTTCCCTTCAGGGTCAGAGTGTGCCACCTCGTGCCTGGACCACAACAGCGAGTCCATCATCCTGCCCACGAACGTGACTGTGCGTGACATCCCCCACTGGCTGAACCCCACACGAGTGGAGGTGAGTGACCAGGGCCATCCAGCTGCAGCTGATGAGGAGGGAGGTGCCATTGTAGAGCCCTTACCATGTCCCAGCCCAAAATTCATTCCTTTGCCACTACTGTCACATTTAGTCATCATACCTGCCCTTTAGAGTGGGGGCTAGCTCAAATCCTTTCTCCAGGCCACAATTATTTAATACTTCCCATCAGGCTCTGTGTTGAGGGACTTCTATTTATTGTCCCTCTGAGTTCTGATAAAAGAGTAGGAATAAGAGTCCTCATGTACCTAGTGTACAGGTGAGGAAACTGAGGCACCAAGAACACATAGGTAGGGGGTACAGAGCCAGGTCTCAGTCTAATGTCGGTGGGATGTAAAGTGGTGATGTTTGGCGTCTCTAACACCCTCCTTGTAGCTGAGCATTTTATGTAGCCTTGGATTGGGGGACTCTTTCTTCATGCTTTACCAGTTTGGTGGGAAGCAATTACTATGTGCATTAGCCACAGGGAATAGTCACACCTCTTGTTTATAGAGCACTTACCCTGTTCATGTGCCTGGGGCTTTGCACACAAGATAACATTTAAACCCGCTACTGATGGTAGGAGGAAGGAGGGGGTGTGGTTGTTTGCACTCCTGGACACTGAGACCTCAGAGTGTTTTGAAGAACCCAAACCCAAGTCCAAACACCACGCACTTCCCCCAGCACAAGGCTCCCGTGCTCCTGGCCGGATGACTATGGAGGACCCCACCTGTAACAGTGTCAGTTTGCCTCTGAGGTTGGTGGCTCTCACTTTCCCTTATGTCACCTGATCAGCTAGGGACCCCAAGCTGATGTGGAAACCCATTCTTGTTCTCCAGGACAGCATGGTTCCCAGGCCTCATGGATTGGTCTGGACATTGGCTCCTTACCTTGGAGAAGTGACAGAAGGAGGTGGGGGCAGGTGAGGTTCAGCCAGCTCTGTATCCCTCCAGCAGCCTTTCTGCCTGGGGTGTCAGGAACTGCCGCCTGCCCGCCTGCTGCAGATTGAGCCCTGGATAGCTGGCCAGAACCTGATACGGGGTGTACTGTTTCTCAAATGAGCTGAGGGCACGGTTTCCAGGGCTTACTCAGCTCTCTGGGCAAGTGGACTTGGCCAGAACCCTCGGCTCCCCTGTGCACCCTGGTCTGCGTCTCCCCTCCACATCCCTTCCACTGTCTCTCCTTCTGCTCCACTCTTTTCTGTTTCATCCTTGTTTCTCCAATTCCATTTCCTTTTACCCCACCCCTACTTTCCCGCTCTCTCTCTCCTCCTATCTCACTCACACTGGTCTGTCTCTTTCTGACCACTGGTCCCCTGCCCATCACCATCCTCTCTCTTTTTCTCTGTACATTCACAGGAAGTCCTGAGTCCCTTAACATCAGGCTCCTGGATCAGTCTCTTCCTCCTCCAGGTGCCCTTCCCGATTCCTATGTTCTAATCCCCACGCAGATTCTCCCAGAGTGCCTTGGTGTACCTGGATGTGCTGAGCACCCGAGTCCCATTCTCAAAGCATCTGGAGATTCCCAAATCTAAGCCTCTGGTTGTTCAGAGAAGCTGAGGATTGCAGAGGGAGGGGTGGTCGGGATCACATGGGCAGTATAGCTAGACCCCCCGCCGGGACCTGTGATTGGCAGCTCCTCCTAACCCCAAAGCAGCTGAGCGTTACTCACCCACAGAGCTGACACAAGAGACCTCCCTGTCACCCCAGTATCAAGAGTCTTCCTGGCCTGGCGAGGCTCTCATTTGAGGTCTTTTCCATCCCTTGAGTGAATTCCCACCCTTCCCTCTGTGAGCCGGGGGCACTAAAGAGTTCAGTTGTAATTCACTGTGAAATAAATCCAGGGATTTGAAAGCCTGCAAGCCGCCCACCCCCCTAGTCGCCCACCCGCTGCCTGCCCGCTCCAGCCCCCACCCAGTTCCCCAGTCTGCCTGCCTTTATTGATGCCGGCCTACCGAGAGAGCCATAACGAGGTTCAGACCTCCACCGGTCTCTGGAGGCCTCATTATCCAGGAGGAAAAAAATGTAGAAAAAGGGAGGAGGGCGAAGGGCATAGATTGATGACTTCCAGGAATAAGGCAGCAAAGCTGGCCCCTGCTGCACCCTTGCCCTTCATACGCTGAGAGCTGCACAAGGAAAGCTGCTGGTGCAGGATTTCCAGGCCCAGGGAGGCCCTGGATAGCTCCTCTGCTTCCTGAGGGTTGGCCTCTGTGCAATACTGCAAGGAAGACGGTTAGAGTGAGGTTCTGCTCCAGCACCTCCTGCTTTTGCCCCAGAGTAACAGTGAGAGGGGTCAGGACTGCCATCAAAAGATGCCTTCTGCAACCAGACATTGGGCCAGGCACTCCCCACCCGCACACACACACCCCTGCGTAATAGGTGGGCGTTATCAGTAGAGGAAATGGAATCTCAGAGATGGCGCCTCTTGCCTAAGAGAAGTTAGAGAGGAACCTGACCCAGAGCAGCCCAATGCTGCCATTTGATTCAGAAACTCCAGCAGTCCCTGGGGAATGTAAAATAATAATAACAAAGACAAGGCACTGCTTACTGATTGCTTACCAGGAATGGGCAGGCAAAAAGAAAAAGAAAAAAAAAAAAAAGAGGATGTTTGTAGCATCTGCCGATTTCTGTGGTGTAAACACTTCCACCAGAGCAGGTGTCAAGGTCTCTAAATACCCATCGCTGAAAACAAAGTTGGGAAGTCACAGACGCTTCTGGCCCTCTTGAGCCTGTGCAAGCTGCGGCCCACCACTGACACTTACCCTCAACAGGCTCTGCACGCACTGACACGTCTGATGACTATGTAGACGAGCAGAATATCAGCCCTGAGATCATGCGTCAAGAGTCAAGATTACAACACGAGAACCATGAGCTTGTGCGGGCAGGATTGTGCTCATCTTATTTACCGTAGCACTTCCCTCAGTTCCTAGTGCACAGTAGATGCTCAGTAAATATATATGGTTGCTGAGTCAGGTGACCAAGACTGTAGTCCAAGTCCTGGCACCTTCATGCTCTATGTCTTGGGGAAAATTCTATCATTTCTCTAGGTCACGGTTTCCTCATTTGTGAAATGAAAGCTAAGCCTAGATTCAGTGTCCTACTGTCAAACACTCACAGAATCTGGCAGGTAGGATAAGTAGGGGAAACAGGCTGGCATGTTCTATATATTAAACACCTAGGCATGTTATTAACATTAGTGATCCTGGTGTTTACTAGGAATACTACATAATGACAGAGAGACTGACAGAAAAATACAACAAACCCCCCTGTGCATAGTACCTAACTTAAAAAAAAAAAAAACTTGAAAAGTTTTAATTTTCCCTTTCTTAAGATGTGACTCACACAAATGGGAAGCATGAGGCTTGAGACTTGATCAGTTCCTATGCCCTGTGGACCCCTGAAATCACCACCCCCCACATCAGGATGTGGACCTTGTCTATTCCAGGAGGTCACCATCAGTGGGGTGGCTGTTTTGGGTCTCCACCTCTGCAGTTGGTTTTGTTGATTTTTCAGACTTATAACTAGAATCACACAGTGTATGTCTCATATGCCTCTTTCATAGCCATATTTTAATTTCTACAAAGAAAAACATTATGTTCCCCTTTTTCCCCTCTAAGTCATCCCCTTCTCAGCTTTACTTCCTTCACATGCACTTTTGTAAGAGAAAGCAGTATGGAGACCTGTTCCTACAACTGAATAAATGATATGATGCAAACTCAGCAATAGTCAGAAGTGCCCTCTGTCTTGATGCTGGAGAGAAAGCAAGGAAGGATGGGGACTGTGGTGAACTATTAAAAAAAAAACAAAAAAAAAGCACATCATTTTTGTAGCCACTTCCGGTGGGAGGTGGGTCTAGTCAAGAGCAGCAATGAGGAAATGTGGGCCTTGTGTGGCCCTATATTTTGGTTTTTCTTCAATACACTGAATCTGGAGTTTTTAAAATCTGAAGTCGCTTTTTCTTTTCTTTTACTATTAAAAAACTAATTCTGACTGTCTTAGTCACTGGAGTGCCATAGCAAACATTTCTGCAGGTTGCGTAGCCTAGAAGGTACAAGATTGAAAGTTTAGGATGAGAAAGACTCTTCCAGCCTTGATATCTGAATTCTGGGGATGGAAGCTTTTCCCATCAGCTCCTAAGAAGCATGGCCAATCTGCCCCTGCAGTGCTCTTTGCTGAGGGATGCTGGGAGATTTACATAAAATGTGTCCTTACGATCCTGGTAGGAGAGCCTTTGGCTTTAACATAAAGAATGGGAGGCGGAAAGAGAGGAATGGAGTGAAATAGGGAATGAGGAGGGGAAGAGGCCATGTTTGCTAGGGCATTTCCATAGATGTCACCTCACTGTGGCTCTGTCACATCCAATGAGGACCGTACCTCACTTTACAGTTGAAGATGAGGCTCAGAGAGGTTACAGCTGCCTGGTTTACATAACCAATGTAGTTGAATTAGCTAATTCTGCTTCATTACATCCTTTAAGTCAACCATCCTCCACATTTTGAAAAAACAGACACATGCAGTACATGCAGACAGAGGATGCAGAATTGCTTCCCTGAAAAGAAGATGACATGATGGACCACCATACCAAGAGTCTGAAGGTCAGAGGTAGAATGGTTGTGACTAGTGAGTCCAGTCCATCTTCCGTGTAGATGAAGATTCATCAGTTTCCCCGGGGTGGCGGCGGGGGGGGAGCTTACAATGGAAGAGATGCAGCCAGAGTATATTGAGTAATTTCTCATTCACTCATAGACCCACTCATTCATTCACTCCTTTGCTCATTTGTTTGTTCCTTCAAGCATAAACATTGATCTTGTACTTCCCAATGGCAGGTGTGCTTTAAACACTAGGGACTTCCATGACAGTACATGGAAGAAAGCCGGAAGCTCTGTGACAGATAACAAAAGGCTGATAACACTAATTGATAGGATTCACTAGGAGCAGGACCTGTAAGTCAAGGGAGAAGGAGAACTTATCTGAGTAGACATCTAAGAGGGGATCACATCTGGGCCTCAGCACGAGGAGGCCCTCTGAAGACTCTCTCCCATGTCTTGGACTCTGGTTGGGACCTGTCTTCACTGGCCTTCATTTTTTAGATACTCCGCTTCTCCTGCATTTATCTTAGAGTCTCTCCAACTTTTTGAACCTTGATCTTCCCATTGTTTGCATGAGTGACCTGTTTTTATAATGACAACTTCAGTATCTCTGAGACTTTGAAGTACCGTATGGTATTCAAAGCGTAGACCTTGAAGTCAGACAGATTTAGATTTAATTGCTGTCACTGTGTGTGTGTGTGTGTGTGTGTGTGTGTGTGTATGTGTGTGTGTGTGTGATTTGGGGCAGGTTGTCTAACTTCTTGGTGCCTTGGTTTCCTCTTA